GGTCCAGTGTCGTCATCATCCACCAGGGTGAAGTGATGGGGCATCAGGTCCAGTGTCATCATCCACTAGGGTGAAGTGGTGGGACATCAGGTCCAGTGTCGTCATCCACTAGGGTGAAGTGGTGGGACATCAGGTCCAGTGTCGTCATCCACTAGGGTGAAGTGATGGGGCAGCAGGTCCAGTGTCGTCATCATCCACTAGGGTGAAGTGATGGGGCATCAGGTCCAGAACAGACGTCAGGTTCAACCAATGTCGTGTCTTCCTTCTGGTCATTATTTAGTAGGTAATATTTCTTTGTAGTCTTATAACTAAGGTATTTCCAACTCAAACTCTCTGATTTTTTTAAAAAAATCTGTTTTGGGAGATCTGGAAGTCCTTTTAATTTTTTAACAATCGCTTAGTCCTTTGTGAGATTTTGATGTTGCATCTATGAAATAAAATCCCTTGTAACGTTTCACCTAGGATTGATAGCCTAGAAAGTCCACAGTAGGAATCCACAATGCTCTTTCAGTCTTTCCCTTTATTTTGGGAAACACATTTTTCAGGGCTCATGGGTGGAGAGCTCTCTGCAAAAATGTAAATTACTCTTAGGGAACAGGTCTTGTGTCTTGATCATTTGAATTCCAGGACCCAGGATAAAGCAGACACTCAGGAAATACATCCTTTCTGTCCGCTGTCAGCCGTCTGCCCTGTCAGGCTACCTCCGTGGTCTTGTTTGCCCATTAAGATTCCTTGGAGGAAAAATGTCTACCAAGCCCAAGCTAATCGCTCTGTGTTTTCTCTCATAAGAAGAGCATTGACTTGAGCTCTCTTACCTTCCAGGGTAGTTGGAAGGCCTGCCGATGGCATTCATCAGGGGTGGTTCCTAATGAGAAGATACGAAATATTGGAATCTCAGCTCACATTGATTCTGGAAAGACGACGTTAACAGAACGAGTGCTTTACTACACAGGCAGAATTGCCAAGATGCACGAGGTATACACCTGGTTGATTCCAGGTTCCTTAGAGCTTGGTTTTAATTGTTTTACAGTTAGGATTTAATAAACTTCCCAAAACTTGAAGCATAAAAAGAAAGAGCAACAGTGGATCTTTAACCAAAGTCACACATGCGGAGGGGATAGCTCAGGTTGGCTTGAAATGTTGCTGAGTGATCTCTTTAGAGACCATCGCTGTGGGCGTCCTGAGCTGATTGTCTGTTAAGAATGTTAAGTCAATGTGATGTACTCTTAAGCAGCCATTAAAATAGTATTTATGAATAATTGTTAATAACGTGAGGAAATGTTCATGATTTTAAATGGAGAAAAGTTTAAAATGATATATAGCGTGAGCTTAATAGTTAAAAAATACATATATCAGAAAAAAATTATTTAAAAAAATCTTACGACTCTCCTGGAGACATTATCATATCATTGAGTATTTAAGTCATCTCTCCAGTTTAAAATATTTCTTCAAATGAAGGTCACCTTGTTAAATCATATGCTTTAAAAGCAGAGTTCTTCCCGTTGAGGTCTCAGAATCCACAGGTAGCACAGCTGGCAAAGGTCTGTTCTCTGAAGATCTGCTTGCGGACTGACCCCTGGCTGGTGGGCAGGCGCAGAGGGACAGACATGGTCCTCAGACCAGGGAAGTTGCTGTGCCTTGGCAGTGGCTGAGAACAGTGGTGGAAAACCAGGTTGGGTAGGTATTAGAGGGCAAGACCTGTAATCGGTTTAACGGTTAGGCGTATCCGAAAATTGGATGAATCAAACACTTGTGTTCGGTTCCATTTCCATAGATTTTTTTCCTTCTTGGAATGCAAGGACAGAAAAATCGGAGTGCTGTGCTTGTGTTTAGGTGAAAGGAAAGGATGGAGTTGGTGCTGTCATGGACTCCATGGAACTCGAGAGACAAAGAGGGATCACCATTCAGTCGGCGGCCACCTACACCATGTGGAAAGATGTCAATATCAACATCATAGATACTCCTGGTGAGTGGCCTAGTGATCTGAATGCAGCTTGGGTTGGCAAAAGCACGTCCTTTCTACTGTGACCCAGCTCATTTGTGAGTGTTAAATGTTCAGAAGTCTGCCCATCGGTTCTTATTGAGAAGACTGACTTGGAGCCTTGAGCATTTCGTCTTTATGTGGTTTCTTTGAAAATAGCACAAATAAACTGTGAGTAGGAGAGTTCCTGCTTCTCCATATCGCAGCTGATTCCAAAGGCGCCCGTGCCCCAGTGTCTTCTGGAGGTGGTCTTTCGGGCTCTGGTCGTGGTGGCGAGTGAACAGTATTCATGGCTTAGAAGTCTGCACTCAGGTTAGAAACCTCACGGGAAGTGCAGAGGTACACAGATGTGTCGCAGTGCATGTGTTAAAAGCACAGTCTGCTCTTTAAGCCCCTCACATGCTTCTTTGTCTCTTTAGGTCACGTGGACTTCACAATCGAAGTGGAAAGGGCCCTGAGAGTGTTGGACGGAGCGATCCTTGTGCTCTGTGCCGTTGGAGGGGTGCAGTGCCAGACCATGACTGTGAATCGTCAGATGAAGCGCTACAACGTTCCGTTTCTAACTTTCATCAATAAACTAGACCGGATGGGCTCCAACCCAGCCAGGGCTCTGCAGCAAATGAGGTAGTGAGCCTTAGAAAGAGCAGATGGGGTGTGATGGTCTGGGCACAGGTCTTACATCTGGAAGGATGATGGGTTCATTGGCATTAAGCTTCTTTCTTGAGTTTTTCCTGGTTAGCATTTATGTACGTGAGTGATGTATCCTGGTAAATGGAACACAGAGGCCATAGTTCTTATTAGAACTCGTCAGCTCTGTAAAATCAGGAAGTAGGGCTTCAATGCTAGGGAGGTCGAAGAGGAATTCAGAAAACAGTCTGTCAGTTTATTCTGTTTCGCTATAATTAGAGAAGTTATAATCCAGAGTAGATTCTAAAGAATATTCCACAGTTTATTTAGAGAAACATAGAATACGTTAAGATTGTTCTCTTTGGTGTTAACCAGCCTTTACTTTAGGAATTTTTAGTAATGCTTTTGAATTGTATGCCGTAGAGATGATATTCCCTTGCTTTCGATGATAACATATTTGCTAGGATGACAGTAACACTTCCTTTTTGTGCCAGGTATAACCCAGTAGTATTTTTAGCATTTTGTACAATACTATATATTTCACATAGCCTTTAAAAAGAGTCAGAATTGCACTTTTCACCTTTCATAGATGTGTAAATGGAGCCGTGAAGTTTACACGGCAAAGCTGGTGCATACAGGTGGAAAAGTTCGTGGTAGTGTAGAGACTGGGAGTGATTTAACTGGTGAGAAAAGATACGGTGTTCAGAGCTTTCAGTGAGAGCTTTGCTTTGTGCACATGGGTAGAAGTGATGCATTTGAGGATATTAAAGTGAAATTTTTCTTTACTGGGTGTTTGTAATGTTTTCTTGGCATAACTGTGTTTTCACTTTTTTTCCTTACATTTTATTCCTCCTTGGCAGTAGGTGGGTTCTTTCTGTCAAGCTTCTTCTTCATCCAAGGAAAAGTCTTCTGTCATTTATTTGATTACTTTGGTTCTTTCTTTGCTTCTCCCCCTTTTACCTGTTTTCTCTTTGTAACTCCTGTTTAACAGATTGAGGATCTTCTGGAATGGCCTCTCTGTAATTTTTCTCTCATACTTTCTGTCTCCTCGTACTGCTCTGGGTTATAGGAGCGTTCTTCAGGGTGGGTATTCTACTTTGATATTCATCTGCATTCCTTCTGTTCTTTAGCCTTTTTTTTCCCCCAGTTTTACTAATTATATTGTTATTTGCATAAACTTTCTTTTTTACTGCAACATCTTTTATTAATAGAGACAATTCTCAAGTCTTTATAAATTTTTCTCTTCTTTCCTCTAGTAACTCTTTCTTCGGTGGTTAGTACTGTTTCTTGAGTTCATGCCTGTCTTTCAAGCTGTTGGTTTTTTTCAAATATTTGGCAATTCTTCGTTGTTGCTCCATAGTTATGGGTTGGGGTCTGGAGTCGGGACTAAACACTGGTGGCCAGACCCTGTTCCTTCTCCCGTGAGAACCCCCTCCAGGGAGTGCGGTTTCTGTTCAGTGGCTCTGCCTGGTCGGGGTGCGGGTGGCCTGTTCCTTCTCCCGCGAGAACCCCCTCCAGGGAGTGCGGTTTCTGTTCAGTGGCTCTGCCTGGTCAGGGTGCGGGCAGCCTGTTGATGAGTGTCTGGCTTTAACACCCACTCTGACTGTTTTCCTATAAAAACTCCCTCTTCAGATAGCTGTGCTCAGCTTTGCTAGAGTCAGCCGTTGTGAAATTGAGAGACGGGCTGTTCTCCCAGCATCCTTTCATTTCCTGGCCAGCCACCCACTGACTTGATTTGCCTTCCCATTCTGCCTCCTGGCCAGGGTATTCTGGGGATCTGATAACAAAACACTTATTTTGCAGGTTCTTTGGTTGCCTAAAAAGGGCCCTGGTGGCACAGTGGTTAAAGTGCTCAGCTGCTAACCAAAAGGTCGGTGGTTGGAACCCACCAGCTGCTCCGTGGGAGAAAGATGTGGCAGTCTGCTTCTGTAAAGATTACAGCCTGGGAAACCCTATGGGGCAGTTCTCCCCTGTGCTGTAGGGTCACGACCAGTCAGAGTCGACTCAGTGGCAGTGGGTTTGGTTTTTGTTGCCCAAATGAGGTTGTGGCTTCCTAGACTCACTGAGTTTGTCACCTGTTCCCGACTGCTCTGTATCTGCTCTGACATGCTGATGACACCCCTTCCAGTTCTCTAGCATCTGCACTGATATGTTTTTACGCTTCTTTTGTCATTTCAGAGGACTTTTGGAGGGGGGAAAAAAGAGGTAAACTTGTGTACTTCTATTTCTTCAGGTCCAAGCTAAATCATAACGCGGCGTTTGTGCAGATGCCCATTGGTTTGGAGACTGACTTTAAAGGTATCATAGATCTCATTGAGGAACGAGCCGTCTACTTTGATGGAGACTTTGGGTAAGTGTTAAAAAAAATACTATTAAAACCTTACGTTTTAAAGAGCATCATAGTGAAGGAAAATGATGAGTTTTTTAGTAAGCATCTTTTTAAACATGGCTGGAAGACATGATATCTTCAAGACGATTTTTTTTAAATGCCTTTAATCCTGTTTGCTCCCCATTCTTCTTGGTATTCATGCTGCCTTTGGGTAATGTACTCACATCACATTATGAGACGCACAGTTTGGTGGAAGGAAGCCTTCACCTGGGGCTCTAAAGTAATCCCCTTTTCTACTTGTCCATTCATTTCTTCGTTCATTTCTGCAAACTTTCATGGAACAGCTGCTGTGTCCTGGGTACTGTGATAAAAATCGGGAACCAGATAAGATCATAAATACCTGCTCTACCTGTTTCTCAGGATTGCTGTTGTTACGTGGCGTCAGGCCGGTTCTGACTCAGAGCAGCCCCGTGCACACAGAACAAAACACTGCCCAGTCCTGCGCCATCCTCACAGTCATTATTACGCTTGAGCCCATTGTTGCAGCCACTGTGTCAGTCTTGTTAAAGGTCTTCCTCTTTTTCGCTGACCCTCTACTTTACCAAGCATGATGTCCTTCTCCAGGGACTGGTCCCTCCTGATAACATGTCCTAAGGATGTGAGACATAGTCTAGCCATCTTTGCTTTTAAGGAGCATTCTGGCTGTAATTCTTCCAAGACAGATTTGTTTGTTCTTCTGGCAGTCCATGGTATATTCAGTGTTCTTTGCTAACACCATAATTCAAAGGCATCAGTTCATCAGTCAACGGCAATGGGTTTATAGCCCCAACCACACTCCTACAATTTTTTTTAACTGCTCTCACATATTCATCTTTTTATCCTTACGGTTCTATTTCTTGGGATTATAAAAATAAAAAGATGAATATGTGAAAGCAGTTGAAAATTGTACCAGTGTGTTTGGGGCTATAAACCCATTGCTGTTGAGTCGAATTCCGACTCATAGGGCCCTATAGGACAGAGCAGAACTGCCCCGTGGGGTTTCCGAGGCTATAATCTTTATGGAAGCAGACTGCCCACCTCCTCCCATAGAGTAGCTGGTGGGTTCAAACCACCTACCTTTCGGTCAGCAGCTGAGCGCTTCACCGTTGTGCCACCAGGGTTCCTTAGATCTAGGATTGGCTGGGAATTCACATTTCTAGAAAACTACTGGATGGTGCTGAGTATATTGATTATTGTGTAGGTTTTATTTGTTTAGCTGCCAGAGGGATGGTGAGTTGGGTTCAAAACTGAAGAGTCATATTTAGTAACCTTTTTCTACTGCAAAATGTGATACCGTGTGTTAAAAATTACTGAGGTTAATAGGGTTTTTCTTGGTGGAATGTGAATAGAGTCAGGTTTCTAATTCTGCTCGGTGGAGACTGATGCTCTGGTTAATAAGATTGTGGTTAATGGGGTTTTCAAGAGCTCGTGTGGGCTTTGGAGGCAGACACTGGCCTTGAACCCTCACTGCCCCATTCACTGGCCGTGCACCCTGGAGCGGTTACTCACCTGTTTAACTCGTGTCCTCACCTGAAAACGCAGGTAGTAGAAGCTGCTTCACGTGACGTGAAGCGTAAGTAAAATAACTCATCGACCAGCCTGTCTAGCGCTCATTGCGTTACGCGCATTCAGCAAGCGGATGGTCCTGTTACTCTGCATGCGTGCTGGTTTTCAGATAATTAGAATGTGCCGTTAGCTACACTGAAAAGATGTTAATCTTTCTTTGATTTAGTTGGTGCTTTGTCTAGTCATTGCTTTGAATTTATAAGTACTATACATACTCATTTTAGATAGCTAGACTAGGGATAAACCAGTATGTGTGAAGTGGGGTAGGAGTTTGCATTACATCTTTTATCATTATTTTCTGTAAAACTTGAGAAAAACAGAATGTGATGTCTGTTGCAAAACGGGAGATATACTAAGTTGAGAATTTAGAGGGTTAAAATGTTGTGGGGTTGTTAACCAATGTCATAAAACAGCATGTGTGTTGCTGTTACATGAGAAACTATCTGTTCTGTAAGCCTTCACCTGAAGTACAATAAAATATTTAAAAAAAAAAAAAAAAAAGCTGGAGATATACTTTTTTTTCCTCATTATAGTGGACTGTTTTTATTTTGCCCATTGTCTGAATTTTAAAAATACGTGTTAGCGTTATTTCCATGTTAATGCAAATATATCAGAGCTCTTTCTTATCTTAAAATCGTTACAGCCCTTGGTCCATTTCTTTGATTGGTGCTTTATAGGTTTAATTGGATATCCAAAACAAAACATGTCTTTTCTCAGTCAGATTGTCCGGCACGGTGAGATTCCGGCGGACCTGAGGGCAGCAGCAGCCGACCACCGGCAGGAGCTGATTGAATGTGTCGCCAACTCAGACGAGCAGCTTGGAGAGCTGTTCCTGGAGGAAAGAGTCCCCTCAGTTTCTGACATAAAGGCAGGTGCTCTCAAAATAACTCATATTAACAAGAAAATGAGCTTTTTAAGGGGAGGAGGGGCTGTGATGGACTTTATTAATGAAATCTGAGTAAATTTATTTTAACATAATTGATTTCCTCAAAAAATACTTGGCATGGAGTGTTACTTTTTCTTTTTTTAAGTAGAGAGTTATATAATATTTTAAAACAGGAAAGGAGTCCTAGTTCTGGGAGTATATCCTTATTGAAAAGGAAGGTAAACACAGAAGCGTCCCAGCAGTAAGTTCAAGAGACAAGGATGCTCATGTTTGCTGACTAAATGTTGGTGCTTAAACCATGGCGATATTTGGAAAGCTTTTTTGGTTCCTTTATTGGTTCCTCAGCTTTTTTAAATAAAAGAAGAAGGTCCCTGCCTAAGACGGATACTCATTTTGCCAAGCCAGTTGGTACACTTAGCAGAAGTGCAGTAAGTAATCATTGTAGGTAAGACGGTGTACTCACGGAGTTTGTAGCAAACCAGATGCGCAGGGAAAGACCACGTTGAAACTGAGGATGCTAACTAATAATTTTTCTTTGAACTGGGACGGCATCTTGTATCCTGAGTCCTTCAGCGTTCACAACAGCTCCCTGTTGAGTAAGGAGCCCCATCCAGGAAGGACAGGTCTGACCTCAGATAAAGTCAGGTGTTGAATCCTGGGAATCACCGTAGAGAGCTGGGTTCTTTATCCACTAAGTGGTGGGTGTCAGGAGGCCCCACGGCCACCCAAGGTTTGGTACTTGCTAGGGACTCACAGGGCCCAGCATGTGGCCATTGTCATGGCTAGGATTTATCACAGTTGAAAGAATATGAAGCCTGTCAACAAAGGGAAGGGAAAGCATGTAGGGCGAAGTCCAGGGAAACCAGGTGCCAGCTTCCCAGAGCCCTCTGCTGGTGGGGTCACACGGGACCCTCTCAGGTCCCCAGCAGCGAGTGTGACAACACGTGAGAGGTGGTCTATCAGGGGGGCTCATTAGAGACTCAGTGCCCAGGGTTTTTACTGGGGATGGGTCACAAAGGCACCTGCCTGGCACATACCAACAGTCCAGACTCCCAGAGTAACGCGGGGGTCGGGCATAAACCACGTTGTGGGCACAGTCTGGGCAGACGGACCCCTCCTGTCGGTTCTAGGAGTGCTGGGAAGCCTCCCAGAATCCAGGTTCCCAGACAGCAGCTGAGGGCCAGCCCTGCAGGCAGGCCTTGCTGAGGACAGCAATCTCAGACCCACTGTGCTAACTTTTCTGCACAGACACGTGGGGGTTGTTTGGTTTCTGTACTGTGGTCGGATATTATTATTGGGGACAGCGGAAAGGCCACAACTTTGAAGTACAGAAGTGATTCTTATACCCAACAAGGGGGACATTTGGGAAAAAATAAAGCTTTGGTTAGGCTGGTTGAAAGGATAATTTCAGTTTCTCCTTCTTTCTGTTCATTTACCACTCTCATATGGTCTGCTGTTCTGTGTGTGTAATGCAAGCAGGTAAGATTCCTGGGTGTCCCTAATTGCATATTAGGGAGGGATGGAGAGTCAAAGATGAGACCAGGTGTTCCAGGGGGCCTTGAGTCATTAGGGACTGAGCCATTTCTGCTTCTCAGCGATGACAACAGAAGAAGCAAGTTTTTCAGATAATTTCAGTACTGATCGCTTTTTTCCCACGTGTGTGTTCCTTTTTATACCCCCTTTTATCCTGCTCAGCTATTATCCTACCTTTCAGTTGGTAATGTTTAGAAATGGTGATTCTAAATGTTTTGCTTTCAGCTTTTCTGGGTGTCAGTAGTTTTACATTTCTCCCCGAGGACTGGGAAATACCTGTCTGAGGCGCTGTATTCCCCAGGGCAGGTGTGACCACAGCACGGCTGGCAGCCTTCTCCAGCTGTGAGAGCAGAAGCTCCACCACTGACTCAGAGCCTGCCAGCCAGTGGGGCCACGAAGGAGGTGCAGCTGGGCCCCGTCAGGGGTGCCCACGCTAGGAGGTGAGGAGGTGCAGCTGGGCCCCGTCAGGGGTGCCCGCGCTAGAGGTGAGGA